CTGTAGTAGTACTGTAGACTCAGCTAAGACAAGAGGCCTCCTCCTCCTCCTCCTCCTCCTCCTCCTCCTCCTCTGTAGTAGTACTGTAGACTCAGCTAAGATAAGAGGCCTTCTCCTGATGTTGCAGTAGTTCTAGTGCCCTTTTCACACTGTTTTACTGATCTGAACTGTGCTGGAATGGTCCATTTCAGCAGGGTACCAGCAACTATGGTGTATGGGTAACCAGGCCAGCTCAGTAGAGCTCGGTGTGGCTCAGTAGTATGGTGTATGGGTAACCAGGCCAGCTCAGTAGAGCTCGGTGTGGCTCAGTAGTATGGTGTATGGGTAACCAGGCCAGCTCAGTAGAGCTCGGTGTGGCTCAGTAGTATGGTGTATGGGTAACCAGGCCAGCTCAGTAGAGCTCGGTGTGGCTCAGTAGTATGGTGTATGGGTAACCAGGCCAGCTCAGTAGAGCTCGGTGTGGCTCAGTAGTATGGTGTATGGGTAACCAGGCCAGCTCAGTAGAGCTCGGTGTGGCTCAGTAGTATGTAAAGTCCATATTCGTGCTCTTTCTCCAGCCACTGCATATCCCACCTTAGACTCTGGAGAGTTGAGATATTAGATCACAGGACAGGTGATCATGATGGATGGATGAGATCTGGCCAGCCACAGGAGCCTCTTTTCAAGCTAAATTAGAAGTCTTAAAGAATGTTCCTGTGCTAAGTCAGGCAGCAGAGTAATAGTGCTGTAGCACTATTCTGTCCTTCTGTCCCATTGTGGATCATTCTGTCCTTCTTTCCCATTGTGGATCATTCTGTCCTTCTTTCCCATTGTGGATCATTCTGTCCTTCTGTCCCATTGTGGATCATTCTGTCATTCTATCCCGTTGTGGATCATTCTGTCATTCTGTCCCGTTGTGGATCATTCTGTTTTTCTCTCCCATTGTGGATCATTCTGTTCTTCTTTCCCATTGTGGATCATTATTTCCTTCTTTCCCATTGTGGATCATTCTGTTCTTCTCTCCCATTGTGGGTCACTCTGTCCCATTGTGGATCATTCTGTCCTTCTGTCCCATTGTGGATCATTCTGTCATTCTGTCCCATTGTGGATCATTCTGTCATTATGTCCCGTTGTGGATCATTATGTCCTTCTCTCCCATTGTGGATCATTCTGTCATTCTGTCCCGTTGTGGATCATTCTGTTTTTCTCTCCCATTGTGGATCATTCTGTCCTTCTCTCCCATTGTGGATCATTCTGTTCTTCTTTCCCATTGTGGATCATTCTGTCCTTCTCTCCCATTGTGGATCATTCTGTCCTTCTCTCCCATTGTGGATCATTCTGTCCTTCTTTCCCATTGTTGATCATTCTGTCATTCTGTCCCGTTGTGGATCATTCTGTCCTTCTCTCCCATTGTGGATCATTCTGTCCTTCTTTCCCATTGTGGATCATTCTGTCATTCTGTCCCATTGTGGATCATTCTGTCCTTATTTCCCATTGTGGATCATTCTGTCATTCTTTCCCATTGTGGATCATTCTGTCATTCTTTCCCATTGTGGATCATTCTGTTCTTTCCCATTGTGGATCATTATTTCCTTCTTTCCCATTGTGGATCATTCTGTTCTTTCCCATTGTGGATCATTCTGTTCTTTCCCATTGTGGATCATTATTTCCTTCTTTCCCATTGTGGATCATTCTGTTCTTTCCCATTGTGGATCATTCTCTTCTTTCCCATTGTGGATCATTCTGTTCTTTCCCATTGTGGATCATTCTGTTCTTTCCCATTGTGGATCATTATTTCCTTCTTTCCCATTGTGGATCATTCTGTTCTTTCCCATTGTGGATCATTCTGTCATTCTTTCCCATTGTGGATCATTCTGTTCTTTCCCATTGTGGATCATTATTTCCTTCTTTCCCATTGTGGATCATTCTGTTCTTTCCCATTGTGGATCATTCTCTTCTTTCCCATTGTGGATCATTATTTCCTTCTTTCCCATTGTGGATCATTCTGTTCTTCTCTCCCATTGTGGGTCATTCTGTCCCATTGTGGATCATTCTGTTCTTCTCTCCCATTGTGGGTCATTCTGTCCCATTGTGGATCATTCTGTCATTCTGTCCCATTGTGGATCATTCTGTCATTATGTCCCGTTGTGGATCATTATGTCCTTCTCTCCCATTGTGGATCATTATTTCCTTCTCTCCCATTGTGGATCATTCTGTCATTCTTTCCCATTGTGGATCATTCTGTCATTCTCTCCCATTGTGGATCATTCTGTCATTCTCTCCCATTGTGGATCGTTCTTGGTGGTGAATTATCAAAAAAAATCAAATGTGACATCCTGAAACCCCTCTGTCAATGTCCTCCTGTCACTAACCAACACCATCCTTGGTGTGTCTGTTCTCTGTCGTCAACCTCTACAGGGTCACTACACCCGCGCCCAAGCCAACAGCCCCAGACCAGTCATGAACTCCTCTGGTGGGGCGGTGAAGCAGGGGTCAGGGGTCACCACCCAGCAGCAGCAGGGTCAAGGTCAGGGCGGGTCCCAGAGCCAGCAAGCCCCAGCGCAGCACTCCCCTTGCCAGGGACAGACACAGCAGCAACGTGGCCCTCGCTTCTCCAGGAGGAAGGGATCTGACAGCAGTGTCCCTGATGATGACACCAAGGGCAAAGAAGACAAACTGGACAGCAACGAGAGAGCAAGGAGTGGAGGTGAGGTTGATGATGATGATGGGAGGTGAGGAAGAGGAGGAGGAGGATAAAGGGAGAGGTGAGGAGGAGGATAAAGGGAGAGGTGAGGAGGAGGAGGATAAAGGAGAGGTGAGAAGGAGGAGGATAAAGGGAGAGGTGAGGAGGAGGAGGATAAAGGGAGAGGTGAGGTGGGGAGAGGCTCAGGGGAGGTGGAGGAGGGAGGATCACGGGGAGTGTGAGGAGGATTAGGTCAGTGACGGGAGATGCGGATGGGAGGTAGGAGGCGGAGGTAAAGGGCACGGTGGGAGGGTGGGTGGGTAGCGGGGGTCGGGGGGTGGGAGGGGAGGTAAGGGCAAGTCGGGCGGAGGAGGGGGGAGGGATACGGGGAGTGTGGAGCGAGGAGGTCAAAGGGAGAGGTGTGAGGGGCTCCGGGGGCGGGGGGAAAGGGGCTCGGGGGAGGTACGGGAGCCGGCGGTAGCAGGGCGAGGAAGGGGCGGGACGGCGGTAGCGGGAGGGGAGCGGGATAGTGGGGGTGCGGGGCGGCTCGGGGGGTGAGGGGCAGGACTGCACCGGGCGGAGTAGGAGAGGGCGGGGCCCAGGGGTAAGGGAGGGGCGGGTAAGGGGGGGGCGGGGAGGTAAGCGAGGTGGGGTGGGGATCGGGTGCGGGGCGGTGGGCGGGCAGGGGCACGGGTGCAGGGAGGTAGCGGGGGTAGGGGGAGGTCGGCGGGGCTCGGGCGGGTGGGGGGGGAGGAGTGCGGCGAGGTGGGATGGGGGGGGCGGCTCGGGGGGTGGGGGGCTCGCGGAGGTGCGGGGAGGATGGGGCGCCGGGCTGGGAGGGCGGGCTCCCGGGCGGTGCGGAGGGACGGCTCGGAGGGGGGAGGGATGGGGCAGGGGAGGGGAGGGAGGGGATCAAGGAGAGGTGAGGGGAGGATAGGGAGGGATGAGGAAAGGGAGCGTGGAGGAGGTAAAGGGAGTGGCGAGGCATCAAGGAGTGAGGAGGAGGAGGATAAAGGGAGGTGAGGAGGAGGGATAAGGAGGGTGAGGAGGGAGGGAAGGTGAGAGATGCAAAAGGGTCTACGTTGAGTCTCACCTAAGGTTTTATTCATGAGGAGGTCATTAACTGTGTCCTTGACCTGGGGAAGTGAAGAAAGCTTCTGAAGCTCACCTTTCATTCAGCAGTACTTCAAACCCCCTTTACTTCTTACACAATTTGTTACAGTACTGCCTTATTCTGAAATTGATTAAATAGTTTTTTCCCCTCATCAATCTACACACAATACCCCATTATGACAAAGCAAAAACTGGGTTTTAGACATTTTGCAAATGTATACAAATATATATACTGAAATATAACATTTACATAAGTATTCAGACCCTTTACTCAGTACTTTGTTGAAGCACCTTAGGCAGTGATTACAGCCTCAAGTCTTCTTGAGTATGACGCTACAAGCTTGGCACACCTGTATTTGGGGAGTTTCTCCCATTCTTCTCTGCAGATCCTCTCAAGCTCTGTCAGGTTGGATGGGGAGCGTTGCTGCACAGCTATTTTCAGGTCTCTCCAGAGATGTTCGATCGGGTTCAAGTCCAGGCTCTGGCTGGGCCACTCAAGGACATTCAGAGACTTGTCCCGAAGCCACTCCTGCGTTGTCTTGGCTCTGTGCTTAGGGTCGTTGTCCTGTTGGAAGGTGAACCTTCACCCCAGTCTGAGGTCCTGAGCTCTCTGGAGCAGGTTTTCATCAAGGATCTCTCTGTACTTTGCTCCGTTCATCTTTCCTTCGATCCTGACTAGTGTCCCAGTCCATGCTGCTGAAAAACATCCCCACAGCATGATGCTGCCACCACCATGCTTCACCGTAGGGATGGTGCCAGGTTTCCTCCAGACGTGACGCTTGGCATTCAGGCCAAAGTGTTCAATCTTGGTTTCATCAGACCAGAAAAAATCTTGTTTCTCATGGTCAGAGTCTTTAGGTGCCTTTTGGCAAACTCCAAGCGGGCTGTCATGTGCCTTTTACTGAGGAGTGGCTTCCATCTGGCCACTCTACCATAAAGGCCTGATTGATGGAGTGCTGCAGAGATGGTTGTCCTTCTGGAAGGTTCTTCAATCTCCACCGAGAAACTCTGGAGCTCTGTCAGAGTGACCATCAGGTTCTTGGTCACCTCCCTGACCAAGGCCCTTCTCCCCCGATTGCTCAGTTTGGCCAGGCGGCCAGCTCTAGGAAGTGTCTTGGTGGTTCCAAACTTCTTCAATTTAAGAATCATGAAGGCCACTGTGTTCTTGGGGACCTTCAATGCTGCAGAAATGTTTTGGTACCCTTCCCCAGATCTGTGCCTTGACACAATCCTGTCTCGGACAATTCCTTCGACCCCATGGCTTGGTTTTTGCTCTGACATGCACTGTCAACTGTGGGACCTTAAGAACACAGCCATGAATAAAGAACGGTACCAACACATCCTCAGAGAGCAACTTCTCCCAACCATCCAAGAACAGTTTGGTGACGACAAATGCCTTTTCCAGCTTGATGGAGCACCTTGCCATAAGGCAAAAGTGATAACTAAGTGGCTCGGGGAACAAAACATCGACATTTTGGGTCCATGGCCAGGAAACTCCCCAGACCTTAATCCCATTGAGAACTTGTGGTCGATCCTCAAGAGGCGGGTGGACAAACAAAAACCCACAAATTCTGACAAACTCTAAGCATTGATTATGCAAGAATGGGCTGCCATCAGTCAGGATGTGTCCCAGAAGTTAATTGACAGCATGCCAAGGCGGATTGCAGAGGTCTTGGAAAAAGAAGGGTCAACACTGCAAATATTGACTCTTTGCATAAACTTAATGGAATTGTCAATAAAAGCCTTTGACACTTATGGAATACTTGTAATTATACTTCAGTATAGCATAGTAACATCTGGCAAAAATATCTCATAACACTGAAGCAGCGAACTTTGTTAAGACCAATACTTGTGTCATTTTCAAAACTTTTGACCACGACTGTACATATAACTAGGAATAAAGTGAATAGGCAATAGGATAGATAATAAACAGTAGCAGCAGCGTATGTGATGAGTCAAAAGGGTTAGTATATGAAGGGTCAATGCAGATAGTTTGGGTAACTATTGGTTAACTATTTAACTAACTGTTCAGCAGTCTTAAGGCTTGGGGGTAGAAGCTGTTCAGGGTCCTGTTGATTCCACACTTAGTGCATCCATAACACTTGCCATGTGGTAGCAGAGAGAACAGTCTATGACTTCGGTGGCTGGAGTCTTAGCATGTTTTGTCAATGTGTTTATTGACCTGAAGACAGCAGGACGCTGTTTAAGACTTGGAGTTGCTGATAAACTGCAGGAGTTATAACAGCAGTCTAGGAGCATTACTCCCTACTCTAGGAGCATTACTCCTTACTCTAGGAGCATTACTCCCTACTCTAGGAGCATTACTCCCTACTCTAGGAGCATTACTCCCTACTCTAGGAGCATTACTCCCTACTCTAGGAGCATTACTCCCTACTCTAGGAGCATTACTCCCTACTCTAGGAGCATTACTCCCTACTCTAGGAGCATTACTCCCTACGCTAGCAACCAAATGAGGGTATCTGTGTCCTTTACGTCCAGTACTGTAGCAGACTCTGGCCAAGGTTCTCCAAGAACATTGTCTGTGTGCCAGAAGGACAGATACAGGAAGTGCTGGATGGTCTTAGAGAAATGTACAGTGTGTATAAATGTAACTAGGCTCATCTATCATATGTGTAATGCAGCACTTAGGATCCAATCAGGGTTTAATGGAAGAGGAGGATGACATCATGTTAGAGACATCAGCTACACAGCTCCATTCATCACGTTAACACACTGCTTAAAGACCCGTTAGGGCTGCGTCCCAAATGTCACCCTGTTCACTATATAGTGCACTGCTTTTGACCAGGGCTCATAGTGCACTATGTAAGGAATAGGGTGCCATTTGGGACACAGTCTAGGACTGATGCTGTGTACTGTACATTCTGCTGCTTGTCATTTAGACTTGTCTAATATATTACCCTCCTATGATTCATCTCTCCAGACTTCTCTAATATATTACCCTCCTATGATTAATCTCTCCAGACTTCTCTAATATATTACCCTCCTATGATTCATCTCTCCAGATTTCTCTAATATATTACCCTCCTATGATTCATCTCTCCAGACTTCTCTAATATATTACCCTCCTATGATTCATCTCTCCAGACTTCTCTAATATATTACCCTCCTATGATTAATCTCTCCAGACTTCTCTAATATATTACCCTCCTATGATTCACCTCTCCAGACTTCTCTAATATATTACCCTCCTATGATTCATTTTACATTTACATTTACGTCATTTAGCAGACGCTCTTATCCAGAGCGACTTACAAATTGGTGCATTCACCCTATAGCCAGTGGGATAACCACTTTACAATGTTTTTTTTTTTTTTTTTTTTTAAGAGGGGGGGGGGGGGGGGGGGGTAGAAGGATTACTTTATCCTATCCCAGGTATTCCTTAAAGAGGTGGGGTTTCAAATGTCTCCGGAAGGTGGTGAGTGACTCCGCTGTCCTGGCGTCGTGAGGGAGCTTGTTCCACCATTGGGGTGCCAGAGCAGCGAACAGTTTTGACTGGGCTGAGCGGGAACTATGCTTCCGCAGAGGAAGGGGAGCCAGCAGGCCAGAGGTGGATGAACGAAATGCCCTCGTTTGGGTGTAGGGACTGATCAGAGCCTGAAGGTACGGAGGTGCCGTTCCCCTCACAGCTCCATAGGCAAGCACCATGGTCTTGTAACGGATGCGAGCTTCAACTGGAAGCCAGTGGAGTGTGCGGAGGAGGGGGGTGACGTGAGAGAACTTGGGAAGGTTGAACACCAGACGGGCTGCGGCATTCTGGATGAGTTGTAGGGGTTTAATGGCACAGGCAGGGAGCCCAGCCAACAGCGAGTTGCAGTAATCCAGACGGGAGATGACAAGTGCCTGGATTAGGACCTGTGCCGCTTCCTGTGTAAGGCAGGGTCGTACTCTCCGAATGTTGTAGAGCATGAACCTGCAGGATCGGGTCACCGCCTTGATGTTAGCGGAGAACGACAGGGTGTTGTCCAGGGTCACGCCAAGGCTCTTCGCACTCTGGGAGGAGGACACAACGGAGTTGTCAACCGTGATGGCGAGATCATGGAACGGGCAGTCCTTCCCCGGGAGGAAGAGCAGCTCCGTCTTGCCGAGGTTCAGCTTGAGGTGGTGATCCGTCATCCATACTGATATGTCTGCCAGACATGCAGAGATGCGATTCGCCACCTGGTTATCAGAAGGGGGAAAGGAGAAGATTAGTTGTGTATCGTCAGCGTAGCAATGATAGGAGAGGCCATGTGAGGATATGACAGAGCCAAGTGACTTGGTGTATAGGGAGAAAAGGAGAGGGCCTAGAACTGAGCCCTGGGGGACACCAGTGGTGAGAGCACGTGGTGCGGAGACAGCTTCTCGCCACGCCACTTGGTAGGAGCGACCGGTCAGGTAGGACGCAATCCAGGAGTGAGCCGCGCCGGAGATGCCCAGCTCGGAGAGGGTGGAGAGGAGGATCTGATGGTTCACAGTATCAAAGGCAGCAGACAGGTCTAGAAGGACAAGAGCAGAGGAGAGAGAGTTAGCTTTAGCAGTGCGGAGAGCCTCCGTGACACAGAGAAGAGCAGTCTCAGTTGAATGACCAGTCCTGAAACCTGACTGGTTTGGATCAAGAAGGTCATTCTGAGAGAGATAGCAATAGAGTTGGCTAAAGACGGCACGCTCAATAGTTTTGGAAAGAAAAGAAAGAAGGGATACTGGTCTGTAGTTGTTGACATCAGTGGGATCGAGTGTTGGTTTTTTGAGAAGGGGTGCAACTCTCGCTCTCTTGAAGACGGAAGGGACATAGCCAGCAGTCAAGGATGAGTTGATCAGCGAGGTGAGGTAGGGGAGAAGGTCACCGGAGATGGTCTGGAGAAGAGAGGAGGGGATGGGGTCAAGCGGGCAGGTTGTTGGGCGGCCTGCAGTCACAAGTCGCAAGATTTTATCTGGAGAGAGAGGGGTGAAAAGATGCCAGGTCCGCAGGGAGTCTAGTTTTCTTCCATTTCCGCTCAGCTGCCCGGAGCTCTGTTCTGTGAGCTCGCAATGAGTCATCAAGCCACGGAGCTGGAGGGGAGGACTGAGCCGGCCGGGAGGATAGGGGACACAGAGAGTCAAAGGATGCAGAAAGGGAGGAGAGGAGGGTTGAGGAGGCAGAATCAGGAGATTGGAGGGAGAAGGATTGAGCAGAGGGAAGAGATGATAGGATGGAAGAGGAGAGAGTAGTGGGAGAGAGAGAGCGAAGGTTGCGGCGGCGCATTACCATCTGTGTAGGGGCAGAGTGAGTAGTGTAGGAGGAGAGCGAGAGAGAAAAGGATACAAAGTAGTGGTCGGAGACATGGAGGGGAGTTGCAGTGAGATTAGTAGAAGAGCAGCATCTAGTAAAGATGAGGTCAAGCGTATTGCCTGCCTTGTGAGTAGGGGGGGACGGTGAGAGGGTGAGGTCAAAAGAGGAGAGGAGTGGAAAGAAGGAGGCAGAGAGAAATGAGTCAAATGTAGACATAGGGAGGTTGAAATCCCCCAAAACTGTGAGGGGTGAGCCATCCTCAGGAAAGGAACTTATCAAGGCGTCAAGCTCATTGATGAACTCTCCAAGGGAACCTGGAGGGCGATAGATGACAAGGATATTAAGCTTAAATGGGCTAGTGACTGTGACAGCATGGAATTCAAATGAGGAGATAGACAGATGGGTTAGGGGAAAAATTGAGAATGTCCACTTGGGAGAGATGAGGATTCCTGTGCCACCACCCCTCTGACCAGATGCTCTCGGGGTATGCGAGAACACATGGTCAGACGAGGAGAGAACAGTAGGAGTAGCAGTGTTTTCAGTGGTAATCCATGTTTCCGTCAGCGCCAGGAAGTCGAGGGACTGGAGGGTAGAATAGGCTGGGATGAAGTCAGCCTTGTTGGCAGCAGAACGGCAGTTCCAGAGGCTGCCTGAGACCTGGAACTCCAGGTGTGTGGTGCGTGCAGGGACCACCAGGTTAGAGAGGCAGCAGCCACGCGGTGTGAGGCGTTTGTGTAGCCTGTGCGGAGAGGAGAGAACAGGGATAGGCAGAGGCATAGTTGACAGGCTGTAGCAGATGGCTACAATAATGCAGAGGAGATCGGAATGAAATGAACTAAACATCTGGGAAAGGATAGAGCAGGGCCTCCCTCACCAAAACTCCCAAATATAACTCTCCCAACTTCCACCTCAGAAACTATAATTGTTTCACTGAACCACCCGAATAAAACTCTCCCAACTTCCACCTTAGAAATGAGTATTGTTGTAAACTACAGCGGTTCAATGTTTCAAGGAATAGACTCAACTTACTTTATTCAGCTAGCTAACTATGACGCCACAGCTAACTAGCATGCTAGCATCCAATAACACACAGTTTAGCACCAATACTTGGTTACAACAAACTACCAATAGTGTGTTAACACACTAAACAGATAATTCGTGTCCGTGTCTAGTTCCTTTCATAACGCAGTAATAATTAAACGTTGGCTAGCTAGCACAAATATATTGTATTTCGCTGCTACAGTACAGCTAGCTGGTAGCGTTGGCTAGCTAGCAATGGCTGCGGTGATGACTTTGTTTGAAAAACGGCGTCGCTGCGAACAAATGTAGCTGGCTAAAAGGATATTGTATTTAGTTGCTACCGTTGCTAATAGCTACTCGCCAGCTAGTCCAGGAGGTGAGTTAGCTAGCTAGCTAGCTTCGTGCTACACCCGGCACCGCCGAATACAATACTAACCTACAATAATTACATACAATAACTATCCACAACAACCCACGATGCCTACCTACAATACCTAACTACAATCTAAATACATAGTTTAAGCCTTACTCGACAAAGCCCAAGCTATGTATAAAGCCAAACTTACCCGACGCCAGGTGTCTGGGTGGCAGACAAGAATACATTGGTCTTCTGCAATGAGTAGCTGTAATTAAGTACAGTAGCTACTAACTACCTAACGTTAATGCTTCAGATAATGAGGTTAGAAAAACAGCTGAATGGTAGGTAGCTAGCTGGCTTAATTACAGGTACTCTTAAGCGTGAAATAACATTGGAAACAACTATCCACAGTTGCTAAAAGTTACCAGTAGCTACCCGCTAGCTAGCTTTGTTGGTCCAGGTAGTGGGTTAGCTAGCCTCGTGCTTCACCGGGCTCAGCCGAATACAATACTTACCAAAAATAATTACCTACAATAACCTACAATAACTACCTAAATAAACTACCTACAATACCTAACTACAATACCTACCTACAATCTAAATACATGGTTTAAGCTTTACTCAAGACCATATAAGAAGCCAAGCTTACCTCCTGCTAGAGAAAACACAACCTCACCCGACCCGATGCCAGCCATTCACAATATATTACCCTCCTATGATTCATCTCTCCAGACTTCTCTAATATATTACCCTTCTATGATTCATCTCTCCAGACTTCTCTAATATATTACCCTTCTATGATTCATCTCTCCAGACTTGTCTAAAAGTATGAGCAGCAAGCAGATGGCTGTGAACAAGCGGAGGAAAGCGGAGGAGGAAGAGGAGAAGAAATCCGGTTTGAAAAGACTGAAAACCGAGACGACAGTGAGGTCAGACTCCTCTGAGGGCAGTGACTCTGAGATGTCTACCAAGAGAACCAGGACGGCAGACTCCTCCTCTGAGGAGGAGCTAAAAGGAAAGGCCGGCCAGGAGCGGCACAAGACCCAGGGTTCTAAGACTGGGAAGGAGTCTGCTCTGATAGGCTGTCTCTCCCCCTGGGGTGAGGAGCTTCAGAAGGCGGAGTCTCAGCCGTCGTCAGCCGACAGGGAGCAGAGGTCATCCCAGCGACAGGGGGAGCGGTCTCCCCTGCAACAGCAGCAGCCCCCTCCCCTGGCCTCCTCCTCCCTGGGCTCTGCCCCCTCTGAGGGCCAAGGGGAGGGCATCATAGAGACCAACAGCACTATGAAAGCCCCCTCCCAGACCCATCCCCAGTCCAAGGACCAGTACACCAGCGTTGGGATGGCCACCAGGACCCAGACCCCCTCTCAGTATGTCATCGACATCACAGCAGAGGACGCTAACGCACACATGGCCTCCCAGGAGAACTCTGAGGCCGTCTCGGCCCTGCTGGCCTCCCAGAATCCATCTGAGCCCTCCTACATCTCTGAGCCCAGCAGACATTTGGTGCTAAACCCCCCTGTGTCCCCTTCCTCTCCCCTTCGTAAGAGCCCCTCCGAGTGTAACCTACGGAACCAGCCTCCCCCTGTGTCAGAGTGTAACCTACGGAACCAGCCTCCCTCGGTGTCAGAGTGTAACCTACGGAACCAGCCTCCCTCGGTGTCAGAGTGTAACCTACGGAACCAGCCTCCCCCGGTGTCAGAGTGTAACCTACGGAACCAGCCTCCCTCGGTGTCAGAGTGTAACCTACGGAACCAGCCTCCCTCAGTGTCAGAGTGTAACCTACGGAACCAGCCTCCCTCGGTGTCAGAGTGTAACCTACGGAACCAGCCTCCCTCGGTGTCAGAGTGTAACCTACGGAACCAGCCTCCCTCGGTGTCAGAGTGTAACCTACGGAACCAGCCTCCCTCGGTGTCAGAGTGTAACCTACGGAACCAGCCTCCCTCGGTGTCAGAGTGTAACCTACGGAACCAGCCTCCCTCGGTGTCAGAGTGTAACCTACGGAACCAGCCTCCCTCGGTGTCAGAGTGTAACCTACGGAACCAGCCTCCCTCGGTGTCAGAGTGTAACCTACGGAACCAGCCTCCCTCGGTGTCAGAGTGTAACCTACGGAACCAGCCTCCCTCGGTGTCAGAGTGTAACCTACGGAACCAGCCTCCCTCGGTGTCCGAGTGTAGGAAGCCAGAGATAGAGCAGCAGCACATAGCAGGTAGCCTGGGCAGTAAGATGGAGTTTGTCCATTCAGTGGTGATCAGACCTATAACATCAGTCAGTGAGTCTGCTGCTGTAGCAGAGAGAGAGAAGGTTCAGCAGCAGCTATATTCCTCCATGGTGCCCTGCATTAAGAACGCCTCATTGGCTGACGAGGCCAGGAAGTGGCACAAGCTAAGCCCCTCCCCTGATGTCCCCAAGCCCCTCCCCTCCCCAGAGGCCCTGAAGCCTAAGCCCCTCTGCTCCTCTGACATCATCAAGTCTAAAACACACAGTGTTCTGGAGACTGGGTCTAAACCCAAACCCCTCACCTCCCCGGAGGTGTCCAAGCATAAAGTCCGTTACCCGGACAACCCCCCTCGCTCCAGCTTTAAGCCCGTCCTGGCCCGAGGGACAGCGTCGCCAGGTTCTTGCACTAAGAGCCCGCTAATCATTGATAAGAAGGAGCTTTTCACCGTGTACCGGGACCCTGCGCTGGTCCGTCCCGACCAGGAGTCCAACCACGTGTCCTATCTGCACCCCCAGCTCCACCCCCACCACCTCACCTCTCACCTCCTGCCCTCCTCCCACTCCCACCACCTCCTCTCCGGGGTGCTCTCTGGCCTGCCTCCAGGCCCCCTGCTGGGGGGTCATCCCCGTCTAGACTCCTCAGGGCTGGGGCACCTGGGTCTAGCCCAACACCCCCAGCCCCCTGGATCCCTGCTTTCCCAGACACACAGCCACACCTCAGCCTCATACAACCAGCTGGGGCTGTACCCCATTATCTGGCAGTACCCCAACGGGACCCGCTCCTACCCCCCAGGACTCAACATGCCCGGGTCCAAGTGGGTGCACCCCGAAAACACTGTAAACTCTGAGACCAACATGAGGAGGGTGAGTACCAAACAGCCAGATTCTATTCTTCTACAACTCTTCTTCCTGTTCTACTACTGCTTCTATTATGACGTCTTCCTAGCAACAGTAGCATAGCAACTATGCTCATGTTGCCAGTTTAAACAGCTTGCTGCTGTAGCATTTAAACTATGCTCATGTTGCCAGTTTAAACAGCTTGCTGCTGTAGCATAGCAACTATGCTCATGATGCCAACTTAAACAGCTTGCTGCTGTAGCATTTCAACTATGCTCATGTTGCCAGTTTAAACAGCTAGCTACTGTAGCATATCTCTCATGTTCAGTTTGTAAAGACCACTGTCCTGAGTTTTCAGGTTATTTGTTATTCTGTTCTGTTAGTAGGTAGGGGATATCCTAGTTATAGGTTATGTTAGTAGGTAGGGGATATCCTAGTTAAAGGTTCTGTTAGTAGGTAGGGGATATCCTAGTTAAAGGTTCTGTTAGTAGGTAGGGGATATCCTAGTTAAAGGTTCTGTTAGTAGGTAGGGGATATCCTAGTTAAAGGTTCTGTTAGTAGGTAGGGGATATCCTAGTATAGGTTCTGTAGTAGTGTAGGGGATATCCTAGTTATAGGTTCTGTTAGTAGGTAGGGGATATCCTAGTTAAAGGTTATGTTAGTAGGTAGGGGATATCCTAGTTATAGGTTCTGTTAGTAGGTAGGGGATATCCTAGTTAAAGGTTCTGTTAGTAGGTAGGGGATATCCTGTTAAAGGTTCTGTTAGTAGGTAGGGGATATCCTAGTTAAAGGTTCTGTTAGTAGGTAGGGGATATCCTAGTTAAAGGTTCTGTTAGTAGGTAGGGGATATCCTAGTTAAGGTTCTGTTATTAGGTAGGGGATATCTAGTTAAGGTTCTGTTAGTAGGTAGGGGATATCCTAGTTATAGGTTCTGTTAGTAGGTAGGGGATATCCTAGTTATAGGTTCTGTTAGTAGGTAGGGGATATCCTAGTTAAAGGTTCTGTTAGTAGGTAGGGGATATCCTAGTTAAAGGTTCTGTTAGTAGGTAGGGGATATCCTAGTTATAGGTTCTGTTAGTAGGTAGGGGATATCCTAGTTATAGGTTCTGTTAGTGGGTTTAGGGGATACCCTAGTATAGGTTCTGTTAGTAGGTAGGGGTTTCCTAGTTTATAGGTTCTGTTAGTAGGTGGGGGATATCCTAGTTAAAGTTCTTTTAGTAGGTAGGGGATATCCTAGTTATAGGTTCTGTTAGTAGGTAGGGGATATCCTAGTTATGTTTCTGTTAGTAGGTAGGGGATATCCTATTTATAGGTTCTGTTAGTAGGTAGGGGATATCCTAGTTAAAGGTTATGTTAGTAGGTAGGGGATATCCTAGTTAAAGGTTCGGGTTAGTAGGTAGGGGATATCCAGTTATAGGTTCTGTGTAGTAGGTAGGGGATATCCTAGTTAAAGGTTATTTTAGTAGGTAGGGGATATCCTAGTTATAGGTTCTGTTAGTAGGTAGGGGATATCCTAGTTATAGGTTCTGTTAGTAGGAGGGGGATATCCTATTATAGGTTCTGTTAGTAGGTAGGGATCCTGTTAGTTCTGTTGAGGTAGGGGATATCTAGTATCTAGTGTATAGGTCTGTTAGTAGTTGTAGGTCTGTCTCTCGTATACCCTGTCTGTCTCCTGACTGACCTGTCTGTCTCTCTATACCCGTCGGTCGGTCTAGTGTCTCTCTGTATGTTGTTAGACTGACCCTGTCTGTCTCTCTGTATGTTGTTAGACTGACCCTGTCTGTTCTCTCTGTATGTCTGGGTCTGACCGTCTGTCCTCTTATGTCTGGTCTGACCCTGTCTGCTCTCTGTATTGTCTTTTACTGACCCTGTCTGGTCTCTCTGTATGTTGTTAGACTGACCCTGTCCTGTCGTCTCTGTATGTCTGGGTCTGACCCGTCTGTCTCTCTGTATGTTGTTAGATGACCCTGTCTGTCTCTCTGTATGTTGTTAACGACCCTGTCTGTCTCTCTGTATGTCTGGGTCTGACCCTGTCTGTCTCTCTGTATGTCTGGGTCTGACCCTGTCTGTCTCTCTGTATGTTGTTAGACTGACCCTGTCTGTCTCTCTGTATGTCTGGGTCTGACCCTGTCTGTCTCTCTGTATGTCTGGGTCTGACCCTGTCTGTCTCTCTGTATGTCTGGGTCTGACCCTGTCTGTCTCTCTGTATGTTGTTAGACTGACCCTGTCTGTCTCTCGGGTATTCTGGGTTGACCCTGTCTGTCTCTCTGTATGTCTGGGTCTGACCCTGTCTGTCTCTCTGTTGTTGTTAGACTGACCCTGTCTGTCTCTCTGTATGTTGTTAGACTGACCCTGTCTGTCTCTCGTATTTGTTAGACTGACCCTGTCTTTTCTCTCTTATGTCTGGGTCTGACCCTGTCTGTCTCTCTGTATGTTGTTAGACTGACCCTGTCGTCTCTCTGTATGCCTGGGAAACGGACCCTGTCTGTCTCTCGGTATGTTGTTAGACTGACCTGTCTGTCTCTCTGATGTCTGGGTCTGACCCTGTCTGTCTCTCTGTATGTTGTTAGACTGACCCTGTCTGTCTCTCGGGATGTTCTGGGTCTGACCCTGTCGTCTCTCTGTATGTCGGGGTCTGACCCTGTCTGTCTCTCTATGTCTGGGTCTGACCTGTCTGTCTCTCTGTATGTTGTTAGCGCCCCTGTCTGTCTCTCTGTATGTTGTTAGACTGACCCTGTCTGTCTCTCTGTATGTTGTTAGACTGACCCTGTCTGTCTCTCTGTATTTTCTGGGTCTGAACCCTGTCTGTCTCTCTGTATGTTTGTTGGGACGCCCCTGTCTGTCTCTCTGGTATGTCTGGGACTGACCCTGTCTGTCTCTCTGTATGTTGTTAGACTGACCCTGTCTGTCTCTCTTATGTCTGGGTCTGACCCTGTCTGTCTCTCTGTATGTTGTTAGACTGACCCTGTCTGTCTCTCTGTATGTCTGGGTCTGACCCTGTCTGTCTCTCTGTATGTTGTTAGACTGACCCTGTCTGTCTCTCTGTACGTTGTTAGACTGACCCTGTCTGTCTCTCTGTATGTCTGGGTCTGACCCTGTCTGTCTCTCTGTATGTTGTTAGACTGACCCTGTCTGTCTCTCTGTACGTTGTTAGACTGACCCTGTCTGTCTCTCTGTATGTCTGGGTCTGACCCTGTCTGTCTCTCTGTATGTCTGGGTCTGACCCTGTCTGTCTCTCTGCATGTTGTTAGACTGACCCTGTCTGTCTCTCTGTATGTTGTTAGACTGACCCTGTCTGTCTCTCTGTATGTCTGGGTCTGACCCTGTCTGTCTCTCTGTACGTTGTTAGACTGACCCTGTCTGTCTCTCTGTACGTTGTTAGACTGACCCTGTCTGTCTCTCTGTATGTCTGGGTCTGACCCTGTCTGTCTCTCTGTATGTTGTTAGACTGACCCTGTCTGTCTCTCTGTACGTTGTTAGACTGACCCTGTCTGTCTCTCTGTACGTTGTTAGACTGACCCTGTCTGTCTCTCTGTATGTCTGGGTCTGACCCTGTCTGTCTTTCTGTATGTCTGGGTCTGACCCTGTCTGTCTCTCTGTATGTTGTTAGACTGACCCTGTCTGTCTCTCTGTATGTTGTTAGACTGACCCTGTCTGTCTCTCTGTATGTCTGGGTCTGACCCTGTCTGTCTCTCTGTACGTTGTTAGACTGACCCTGTCTGTCTCTCTGTACGTTGTTAGACTGACCCTGTCTGTCTCTCTGTATGTCTGGGTCTGACCCTGTCTGTCTCTCTGTATGTTGTTAGACTGACCCTGTCTGTCTCTCTGTATGTCTGGGTCTGACCCTGTCTGTCTCTCTGTATGTCTGGGTCTGACCCTGTCTGTCTCTCTGTATGTTGTTAGACTGACCCTGTCTGTCTCTCTGTATGTTGTTAGACTGACCCTGTCTGTCTCTCTGTATGTTGTTAGACTGACCCTGTCTGTCTCTCTGTACGTTGTTAGACTGACCCTGTCTGTCTCTCTGTACGTTGTTGTGCCAGAACACGGCCAGCCCTTGGCTGCACCACCAGCACCCTGTCTCCTCCTCTGACAGCCTGGGCCTACTGAGCCACGTCCCGGTCCCGGTCCGCCCAGCCAGCGCCGACCCTCACCGGTCCGACCCCCACCGGCTCATCAAGATCAACCCTCACGCCAGCCCCCCTCTGCCCCTGTCCAAGACCGCTGGAGATCTTCACAAGGAGTGAGTCGTCACTGTTCAGTTCAGCCCCTTAGACACTCACACACACAGTAGACACACACACACACACACACACACACACACACACACACACACACGGACGAAGACACACACACACACACACACACACACACACACACACACACACACACACACACACACACACACACACACACACACACAGGAACACACACACACACAGGAACACACTCACACACACAGTAGACACACACACACGGACGAAGACACACACACACACACACACACACAGGAACACACACACACACACAGGAACACACACACACACACACACACACACAGGAACACACACACACACACACACACACACACACACACAGGATATCATATAGTCATATCATATAGTCATGTCATATCATATAGTCATCATATATTAATGTCATATCATATAGTCATATCATATATTAATGTCATATCATATATTAATGTCATATCATATAGTCATATCATATATTAATGTCATATCATATATTAATGTCATATCATATAGTCATATCATATATTAATGTAATATCATATAGTCATATCATATAGTCATATCATATATTAATGTCATATCATATAGTCATATCATGTATTAATGTCATATCCACTACTGGTCAAAAGTTTTAGAACACCTACTTATTCAAGGGTTTTTCTTTATTTTTACTATTTTCTACATTCACTGCACTTGATGAAACGTTCAATGTTTTTTAAATGTTCCGTATTAACTGACCTTCATGTCTTAAAGTAATGATGGACTGTCGTTTCTCTTTGCTTATTTGAGCTGTTCTTGCCATAATATGGACTTACCAAATAGGGCTATCTTCTGTATCCCCCCCCCCCCCCCCTCCCCGCCTTGTCACAACACAACTGATTGGCTCAAACGCATTAAGAAGGAAAGAAATTCCACAAATTAACTTTTAAAAAGGCACACCTGTTAATTGAAATGCATTCCAGGTGACTACCTCATGAAGCTGGTTGAGAGAATGCCAAGAATGTGCAAAGCTGTCATCAAGGCAAAGGGTGGCTACTTTGAAGAATTTGTTTAACACTTTTTTGGTTACTACATGATTCCATATGTGTTATTTCATAGTTTTGATGTAGTCACTATTATTCTACAATGTAAAAAATAGTACAAATAAAGAAAAACCCTTGAATGAGTAGGTGTTCTAAAACTTTGGACCGGTAGTGTGGTCCTGTCATATAGTCCTATCGTATAGTCCTGTTGTAGTCGTGACATATAGTCGTGTCAGGTCATATAGATAGTCATAGTCATATCATATAGTCATGGTCATGTCATATCAAATAGTCATATCATATAATCATATAGTCATATCATCATTTGGTATTTTATTAGGAAAGAAGCAGCTACTCTTCCTGGGGTCCACACAAAACATGAGATAATACAGAACATTAATAAACAAGAACAGCTCAAGGACAGAACTACATATATTTTAAAATGGCACACATAGCCTACACATCAATACATACACACAAAATATCTAGGTCAAGTAGGGGAGAAGCGTTGTGCCGTGAGGTGTTGCTTTATATGTTTTTTGAAACCAGGTTTGCTGTATATTTGAGCAATATGAGATGGAAGGGAGTTCCATGCATTAATGGCTCTATTAAATACTGTATGCTTTCTTGAATATGTTCTGGCTTTGGGGGACTGTGAATAGACCCTTGGTGGCATGTCTGGTGGGGTTAGTGTGTGTGTCAGATGAGTGTAAGTTGACTATGCAAACAATTTGGAATGTTTAACACATTGTTTGTTATAAAAAGTGATGCAGTCAGTCTCTCCTCAACTCTTAGCCAAGAGAGACTGTTATGCATAGTATTAATATTAGTCCTCTGATTACAATGAAGAGCAAGACGTGCCGGTCTGTTCTGGGCCAGTTGCAGCTTAACTAGGTCTTTCCTTGCAGCACTGGACCACACGACTGGACAATAATCAAGATAAGATAAAACTAGAGTCTGCAGGACTTGCTTTGTGGAGTGTGGTGTCAAAACAGCAGAGCATCTCTTTATTATGGACAGACCTCTCCCCATCTTTACAACCATTCAATATATATGTTTTGACCATGACAGTTTACAATCTAAGGTAACACCAAGTCATTTAGTCTCCTCAACTTGTTCAACAGCCACACCATTCATTACCAGATTCAGCTCAGGTCTAGAACTTAGGGAATGATTGGTACGAATACAATGCTCTTAGTTTTAGAGATGTTCAGGACCAGTTTATTACTGGCCACCCATTCCAAAACAGACTGCAACTCTTTGTTAAGGGTTTCAGTGACTTCATTAGCTGTGGTTGCTGATTCGTATATGGTTGAATCATCAGCGTACATGGACACACATGCTTTGTTTAATGCCAGTGGCAGGTCATTGGTAAAAATAGAAAATAGTAGAGGGCCTAGAGTGCTGCCCTGCGGTACACCACACTTTATATGTTTGACATTAGAGAAGCTACCATTAAAGAAAACCCTTTGAGTTCTATTAGATAGATAGCTCTGAATCCACGATATGGCAGAGGTTGAAAAGCCATAACACATACGTTTTTTTCAACTACAGGTTATGGTCAATAATATCAAAGGCTGCACTGAAATCTAACTGTACAGCTCCCACAATCTTCTTATTATCAATTTCTTTCAACCAATCATCAGTCATTGGTGTCAGTGCAGTACATGTTGAGTGCCCTTCTCTATAAGCATGCGGAAAGTCTGTTGTTAATTTGTTTACAGAGAAATAGCATTGTATTTGGTTAAACATCATTATTTTCCAACAGTTTGCTAAGAGCTGGCAGCAAGCTGATTAGGTTCGCTGTTAGAACCAGTAAAGGCCACTTTACCATAGTCATATCATCATATATAGTCATATCATATAGTCATATCATATAGTCAAATAGTCATATCATATAATCAAATAGTCATATACAGTGGGGGAAAAAAGTATTTAGTCAGCCACCAATTGTGCAAGTTCGCCCACTTAAAAAGATGAGAGAGGCCTGCAATTTTCATCATAGGTACACGTCAACTATGACAGACAAATTGAGAATTTTTTTCTCCAAAAAATCACATTGTAGGATTTTTAATGAATTTATTTGCAAATTAGGGTGGAAAATAAGTATATGGTCACCTACAAACAAGCAAGATTTCTGGCTCTCACAGACCTGTAACTTCTTCTTTAAGAGGCTCCTCTGTCCTCCACTCGTTACCTGTATTAATGGCACCTGTTTGAACTTGTTATCAGTATAAAAGACACCTGTCCACAACCTCAAACAGTCACACTCCAAACTCCACTATGGCCAAGACCAAAGAGCTGTCAAAGGACACCAGAAACAAAATTGTACACCTGCACCAGGCTGGGAAGACTGAATCTGCAATAGGTAAGCAGCTTGGTTTGAAGAAATCAACTGTGGGAGCAATTATTAGGAAATGGAAGACATACAAGACCACTGATAATCTCCCTCGATCTGGGGCTCTACGCAAGATCTCACCCCGTGGGGTCAAAATGATCACAAGAACGGTGAACAAAAATCCCAGAACCACACGGGGGGACCTAGTGAATGACCTGCAGAGAGCTGGGACCAAAGTAACAAAGCCTACCATCAGTAACACACTACGCCGCCAGGGACTCAAATCCTGCAGTGCAAGACATGTCCCCCTGCTTAAGCCAGTACATGTCCAGGCCCGTCTGAAGTTTGCTAGAGTGCATTTGGATGATCCAGAAGAGGATTGGGAGAATGTCATATGGTCAGATGAAACCAAAATAGAACTTGTTGGTAAAAACTCAACTCGTCGTGTTTGGAGGACAAAGAATGCTGAGTTGCATCCAAAGAACACCATACCTACTGTGAAGCATGGGGGTGGAAACATCATGCTTTGGGGCTGTTTTTCTGCAAAGGGACCAGGACGACTGATCCGTGTAAAGGAAAGAGTGAATGGGGCCATGTATCGTGAGATTGAGTGAAAACCTCCTTCCATCAGCAAGGGCATTGAAGATGAAATGTGGCTGGGTCTTTCAGCATGACAATGATCCCAAACACACCGCCCGGGCAACGAAGGAGTGCCTTCGTAAGAATCATTTCAAGGTCCTGGAGTGGCCTAGCCAGTCTCCATATCTCAACCCCATAGAAAATCTTTGGAGGGAGTTGAAAGTCCGTGTTGCCCAGCGACAGCCCCAAAACATCACTGCTCTAGAGGAGATCTGCATGGAGGAATGGGCCAAAATACCAGCAACAGTGTGTGAAAACCTTGTGAAGACTTACAGAAAACGTTTGACCTGTGTCATTGCCAACAAAGGGTATATAACAAAGTATTGAGAAACTTTTGTTATTGACCAAATACTTATTTTCCACCATAATTTGCAAATAAATTCATAAAAAATCCTACAATGTGATTTTCTGGATTATTTTTTCTCATTTTGTCTGTCATAGTTGACGTGTACCTATGATGAAAATTACAGGCCTCTCTCATCTTTTTAAGTAGGAGAACTTGCACAATTGGTGGCTGACTAAATACTTTTTTTCCCCACTGTAATCATATCATATAGTCATATCATAAAGTGTTTACTAGGAAATGTACTGAATCAATATTTTTACTTGGAAATTAACTGAATCATTATTATATTTACTAGGAAATTAACTGAATCGTTATTATATTTACTAGGAAATTAACTGAATCATTAGTATATTTATTAGGAAACAGCCTGTGATGCCTGTCTGGTCTGTAGCTGAATGGTGTTGATGTCTCTCCTCAGGGAGTTGGACCCCATCCGAACCATCACTCTGGCCCACCTGAAGCAGGAGCAGGACCGCAGCAGAACCCCGACCGGGAAGGACGGTCACCTGCACCACCTCTACCTGGAGGCCCAGCATAAACAACAGCAACAGAGGATGGTCCAGCAGCAGCAGGACGCAGGGGAGAGGGACCGGGCCAGTAAGTACAAGGAGGAGAACAGACGAATCCTCCAGGAGAGCATCGAGGTGGCCCCCTTCACCGCTAAGATCCGCTCCAGTGAGACTGACAGGGAGCCTAACCCATACCGCCGGATCCCCTCGCTCCCCTCCCTGCCCCACCCCCACCCCCAGCGCCTCCATCAGGAGAAGGAGACGGAGCAGCCTGCAGCAGACCTGTATCAGTTTAAACAGCAGGCCGTGTCCCAGCACAATCTCCCCCAGAGTAACTACTTCACTACCCTGTCCAACAGTGTGGTCAACGAGCCGCCACGTCTCTACCCCTCTAAAGAGCTCAACACGTACTTTGAGAAGGTGAGCAGGGAGCAGGGCTCAGCAGCGACCTCTAGTCTCTCTCTGGGGGGAACGTTCAGGTCCAAACCCCCTCCTCTCATCAAACACCAGCATGATGGGGAGGGTCTGGTAGGGAAGATATCAGAGCAGCTGAACCAGCAGGTTGGCCTATCCACCGTGCAGAGGTATCCTCTCAGTACCATAGTCAGCCCTGTTAGTCCAGATATCTCCCCTTCCTCCAGTCAGACCCAGAGTCAGACCCAGAGTCAGACCCAGAGTCAGACCCAGAGTCAGACCCAGCTAAGGTGTATGCCAGCTCTGCACCGCGCCCCCGTGTTCCACCCTCCTATCCAGAAGACACTGGACAGGAAGGAGACGGGCTACGGCCGTCTGTCTCCACCCACCCTGACCCCCATCCAGCCAGTCAGCTCGGCCAGTAAGGTGTCTGAGCAGCAGAAACCGCCCACCCTTCTGCCCGAGCTACGGGAGGTCAGCGCCGTGTGTAAGGGCGGGGCAGCGATGACCTCATCCGAGGTGTTGCGAGCCAGCGACTCTCAGAGCCATGACAAGCTGGGATGGCATTCTGAGAGGAGCCACGGCAGGAAGCCCGGGGCCACCACGCCGTCTGTTATCGTCCGGCCCTCTACGTGTATTAAGTACGACGGCTCGCCAGGCGCCAAGACCTCTTCCTCGGCCAAGGACTCTCTGACGGGGAGGATGTTCCCAGGCGGTGGGCCTCAGACAGTCTACCTGAAACTGGCCGAGGAGAGAGAGAGAGACAGGGAGTCTGGAGGGAAGGTGATCCTGCCAAACACTAACTTGGAGGAGGCAGTCTGCGTGCAACAGTACAAGAACAACTTTATTAGAGTGTCCCAGTCTCAGGGAACCGTTCCAGTCTCTGTCTCGGCTGCTGCCAACTCTGTGTGCAATATGAGGAGCGATGTGACCACGTCAGCCTCCAACATGGCCTCCTACAGTGTGCTGTGTAGAAGAGAAGAGAGGACCTACTGTGGGTCCAAAACCTCCAGCAGTAGCAGGACAGAGAGCTGTGGCCCCCAGGGCAGGGCCTTCCACTCAGGGCCTGGGTTAGGGCCAGGGGCTGAGCTCCAGCAACAGGAGGGGGGCTCCTCCAGGACCTCATCCCCCAACCTGCACCCCGGGCCCAGAACCTGCCTGGCCAGCAGCACCCAGGTCTCTCCCAGCCCCAGCCAGTCCTACTCTGGGAGCTTTATCCATCTGAAGAAGCACAAGGCAGCGTTAGCAGCAGCCCAGCAGTCCAGAGGCCCTAGCAACAGCTCCAGCGGTAGTGGTTCTGAGAGCCTCCACATCTCCCCTCCACCTCCCCTTGCCTCAGCCTCAGCCCAGGACCACAGAACCACAGCAAGCCCAGGACCACAGCAAGCAGGAGCTAGCCCCAGCCCTGGCCCCCTCCCCAATGGCCAGCCAGCCCAGATGAACCAGAGCCAGTCTCAACCCAACTACCACAAGCTGAAGAAGGCCTGGCTAACCAGACACTCAGAGGAGGGCAGTAACAGGAATATTAACACTATGATTAAAACAGAGGAGGGCAGTAACAGGAATATTAACACTATGATTAAAACAGAGGAGGATAGTAACAGGAATGTTAACACTATGATTAAAACCGAGGACAGTAACACTATGATTAAAACAGAGGAGGCTGATAAGTCTGTTACCACCACTGTGAACCCCTCTGTGTCTAAGTCTGTTACCAGCACTGTGAGCCCCTCTGTGTCTAAGTCTGTTACCACCACTGTGAGCCCCTCTGTGTCTAAGTCTGTTACCAGCACTGTGAGCCCCTCTGTGTCTAAGTCTGTTACCACCACTGTGAGCCCCTCTGTGTCTAAGTCTGTTACCACCACTGTGAGCCCCTCTGTGTCTAAGTCTGTTACCACCACTGTGAGCCCCTCTGTGTCTAAGTCTGTTACCACCACTGTGAGCCCCTCTGTGTCTAAGTCTGTTACCAGCACTGTGAGCCCCTCTGTGTCTAAGTCTGTTACCACCACTGTGAGCCCCTCTGTGTCTAAGTCTGTTACCACCACTGTGAGCCCCTCTGTGGCTAAGTCTGTTACCACCACTGTGAGCCCCTCTGTGTCTAAGTCTGTTACCACCACTGTGAGCCCCTCTGTGTCTAAGTCTGTTACCACCACTGTGAGCCCCTCTGTGTCTAAGTCTGTTACCACCACTGTGAGCCCCTCTGTGTCTAAGTCTGTTACCACCACTGTGAGCCCTTCTGTGTCTGAGATGGAGATGATCAAGCCTTGCACCGTCACTCTGATTGCCTCCACCTCCAGTGACGTGGAGATGAAGATTGAAGAGGTCAAAGGTCAGGAGGACAAGATGGCCGCTGAGGACAGGAATACGCGGCGCGGGAGCAAGAGGACGTATGACCACGACTCGGCCTCGGAGAGCGGAGAGGACTCTGACGCCAGCGAGAGCAGCAAGCAGGAGCAGAGGGCTAAGAGACAGCCCAAACCCACCTACAAGAAGAAACAGAACGACCTGCAGAAGAGGAAAGGAGAGGGAGAGAAAGCGGAGGAGGAGAAAGCCAACAGCATCTTCCGGAGCGCCAGGGAGAAGACCAAGCTCAAACTGGCCAACAGCAGTAAGTCTAGCAGGAAAGGGACATTTCATATCCAACTTCTCCAGCACCACCCAACATTAACATGGAAAAATTGTGCATTTCTGTTCTGTAGTAACAAAATGGACTAAGTGTTTCCGATGACATAATCAACCAACTAGTAGGCAATGCCTGCTCATGATTGGTCAAAGCACATGATGCACACCGATGATGTCATTGGAAACACTTATCTTCCTCTATCTGTTTTACTACAGAACACATGTTGGGGTGGTGCTGGAGATGATGAGAAGTTTCCCTTTATTAACGCATGCACAGACACACACACACGTAACTCTAATATGAATATGGTTTCAATTTCATATAGCATTGTAACAACATGTCAACTCAGTCTCTCAGCTCATCATACGTTAGCTGGCCTTACTATATGATATATTACATATTATTATGAAGATTAGTGGTTCTATTCCTTCAAAAGCTGGCTGATATGAGCTGGCTAATGTTGTGCTTATTGGTTCCTGAAGGGGAGAGGTAGAGGGGTGTAGCATGGCAGAATCAGAACCACGGAGTTCTATTTCTGGAACATCTGGAGTGCAGCTTTGTTCTGAGAATTAAAACACAGCTCTTCCAGGAAGGAATGTTCACGCTGATGTGAAATCCATCTTGCCAGGACACTGAGAACACGCTGATGTGAAATCCATCTTGCCAGGACACTAAGAACACGCTGATGTGAAATCCATCTTGCCAGGACACTCTAAGAACACGCTGATGTGAAATCCATCTTGCCAGGACACTCTGAGAACACGCTGATGTGAAATCCATCTTGCCAGGACACTCTAAGAACACGCTGATGTGAAATCCATCTTGCCAGGACACTCTGAGAACACGCTGATGTGAAATCCATCTTGCCAGGACACTAAGAACACGCTGATGTGAAATCCATCTTGCCAGGACACTCTAAGTCAGAGGGGGGTACTCGAAGGGAGAGGTTCGATGGGTACTCCCGGCCGTCCGTGCCTCAGTCAGACACCGCTTGCCTCTCTCACACCTCTGTGATCTGGTCCTACAGAGACTTTCGGGTACTCCCGGCCGTCCGTGCCTCAGTCAGACACCGCTTGCCTCTCCCACACCTCTGTGATCTGGTCCTACAGAGACTTTCGGTCTGAGAGGCTAGCTAGCCTAGCTTGCACTAAAAAGCTTCCTGGCGAACGTTGGCTAGAATGGCTAACTTCCGATGAATTAAACGTACTAGTTTTCCCCAGGCGTTATGGCAACCTATTCGTATTTCCAATTCCTGGAGTTGGAGGGAGGTAACGGGGCTACTGCTCTGATAAGGAAGCAGACTCAGAGCACTTGGCTCTGGAGCGAGGGGCCTTAGAACGGATCTGAGCGACCAGTGCGCCCCTTCACAAAAATATTACTGTGGCAACAGTGCCCCCACATTTGGCTATGGCCAACGGGGTACAACGTCAGCCATTGCCGGAACCCCCAGTGCCCATAAAGGGACCGGGCTTCATACAGTCTCACGGAAGCACAACGTACATTGCCTTCGAAAAGTTTTCAGACCCCTTGACTTTTTCCACATGTTACGTTACAGCCTTATTCTAAATTGAATTTTTTCCTCATCAATCTACACACAATACCCCATAATGACAAAGCAAAAAAAGGTTTTTATTAAAATTATTGCTCATTTATTAAAAATGAAAAAATAAAATCACATTTACGTAAGTATTCTGACCCTTTACTCAGTACTTTGTTGAAGCACCATTGGCAGCGATTACAGCCTTGAGTCTTCTTGGGTATGACCCTACAAGTTTGGCACACCTGTATTTGGGGAGTTTCTCCCATTCTTCTCTGCAGATCAGGTTGGATGGGGAGTGTCGCTGCACAGCTATTTTCAGGTCTCTCCAGAGATGTTAGATCGGGTTCAAGTCCGGGCTCTGGCTGGGCCACTCAAGGACATTCAGAGACTTGTCCCGAAGCCACTCCTGCGTTGTCTTGGCTGTTTGCTTAGGGTCGTTGTCCTGTTGGAAGGTGAACCTTCGCCCCAGTCTGAGGTCATGAGCGCTCTGGAGCAGGTTTTCATCAAGGATCTCTCTGTACTTTGCTCCGTTCATCTTTGCCTCGATCCTGACTGGTCTTCCCTGCCGCTGAAAAACATCCCCACAGCATGATGCTGCCACCACCATGCTTCACCGTAGGGATGGTGCCAGGTTTCCTCCAGACGTGACGCTTGGCATTCAGGCCAAATAGTTCAATCTTGGTTTCATCAGACCAGAGGACCTTGTTTCTCATGCTCTGAGAGTCTTTAGGTGCCTTTTGGCAAACTCCAAGCGGGTTGTCATGTGCCTTGGCTCCAGGGTGAGAGTGACAAGTTGGGGAACTGTCAACAAGGGGTGCCCCTCCCCCGTAGGTGTCTCATTACTGGGATTCATTGCTGATTCTTGCCTGTTTCTTTTCTTTTTCTTTTTATTTAACTACAATGACGGCCTACACCGGCCAAACCCGGACGACGCTGGGCCAATTGTGCGCCGCCCTATGGGACTCCCAATCACGGCCGGTTGTGATACAGCCTGGAATGGAACCAGGGGGTCTGTAGTGACGCCTCAAGCACTGAGATGCAGTGCCTTAGACCGCTGTGCCATTCTGGAGCCAGTAGGTCACTAGTCTCTATGAGGTGCCTAGTGATACAGGTTATGAGCTCTGTAGGTGATTAGTCGTTGGTAGCGGAGTCGGGGAACAACCAGAGTTGGACACAACCATGCTATTATCACACACACAGTCTCTGTGGTTCATATGAACCCCGGAATGAGCTGTCTCCAGCTCAATGCTTTTCATTCCTGGGAATTAGATTCCAGTCCGACTCGCCCGTCTGCTACCACAGAACGGTCCCATTCCCAGCGAGGTTAAAAGGCACTTTGTGGCCAGTACCTGTGACTGCTCGGTAGGGTCACCTCCATTTTACATGTACTTTTTAGTCATTTAGCAGACAATCTTATCCAGCAGTAAGTGCATACATTTTCATACTGGTCCCCCATGGGAATTGAACCCACAACCCTGGCTTTGCAAGCGCCATGCTCTACCAACTGAGCTACACGGGACTCCATGATAACGTTTTTTTCCCCTGAGTCTATTTTTAATGCTTGCGGTCCATGGCTGGGTGCCAGCTGGATACCGGATTGCATCTTACCGCCTAAACGGAGTGAGGCTCGTTGTGACAACAGCACCCCTACTGATCGGATACCGGATTGCATCTTACTGCCTAAACGGAGTGAGGCTCGTTGTGACAACAGCACCCCTACTGATCGGATACCGGATTGCATCTTACTGCCTAAACGGAGTGAGGCTCGTTGTGACAACAGCACCCCTACTGATCGGATACCGGATTGCATCTTACTGCCTAAACGGAGTGAGGCTCGTTGTGACAACAGCACCCCTACTGATCGGATACCGGATTGCATCTTACTGCCTAAACGGAGTGAGGCTCGTTGTGACAACAGCACCCCTATTTGATCGCCTAATGATGGTACCCAAAGTGGGCCAGGCTTTAGGCAAACCTTGGCACATAAATACAGTTTTACGGGTATCTAAAGTGTTGTCTCCCGCATGTGAGTTCAATGAAAAGGGTCCCTTATCCACGTTCCCTTATCCACGGTTGTCAAGAATAGTGGAAATGGAAAAATAACCAGTCTTTCCCAGTCCACAAGGTGGCGTTCTCATCCCTTCGGATGGCACTTCACAGGAGCCTCGCTGTCTGCTCCGACCAATGGGAGTGCGCAGTGTTGCACTGGATCATGTAAACAGTGACGTCAGAGTACGGGCTACAATTTGTTGTACATCCCCCACGCTTCTGCGGCATCATCACGTTGACTGTTCCGGAAGCCTCAGTGGCCATTTTGAGGGAGGAAATATTCTCCCTTCTCCAGAAGCAGGCAATCCGAGTCGTTCCTATGTCTGAGATCCAGGACGGCTGGTACAGGCCGGTATTTCCTGGTTACGAAAAGGGACGTTACTTTGCATCCCATTCTAGACCTACGGGCACTTCAGAGTCTACAAATTCAGAATGCTCATGAGCTGCCGGCTTTTACAGTCGATTGGCTGCTGGCGGCAGCGTCGTGGGGGCAAGCAGTGTTACACATATCCAATACTGTCCCGTATTCAGTCTCTAGGCTTCGTCAGAAACCAGAAAAAGATCTGTCTGACTCTTATCTCAGCACATTTCGCTTCTGGGTCTCGGGCTAGACTCACTGGCGTATCACACTTTTCCGTCCCAACAGAGGGTGTCCGGGCTCTGGGGCTGGGTCACAGTGCCCACTGGGGATGATAGAAGGCCTGTTGTTGATGCAGCCTTTCCAGCACAGAGGGCTAGCCACTCACCTGGACGCTTCTCGCAGCCTTAACCGGTCGCTTCCACCCCTTCAGGCCTACGGGCCCTGGCCCAGCCTTTCCAGCACAGAGGGCTGGCCACTCACCTGGACGCATCTCGCAGCCTTAACCGGTCGCTTCCACCCCTTCAGGCCTACGGGCCCTGGTCCAGTGCTCTGCTATTGTCAGGGGGCTCCCATGGGCTGAGTTGTATCCCACAAGGTTATCACGACAGATGCATCCCTCCGAGGGTTGGGTGCGTGGTACGAAGGCAACTCGATTTATAATATAATAATAATAATAATATGCCATTTAGCAGACGCTTTTATCCAAAGCGACTTACAGTCATGCGTGCATACATTTTTTTTTGTGCATGGGTGGTCCCGGGGATTGAACCCACTACCTTGGCGTTACAAGCGCCGTGCTCTACCAGCTGAGCTACAGAGGACCACGATTTGGGGGGTATGGACTGTGGCGCAGAGCACACTGTATATCAAATGCTGGAGCTCCTAACGATGTATCTGGTGCTCAGGCGCTTCCTCTCACTGTTGTCGGGCCGGGTTGTGCTGGTCAGAACCTACATTATTATGGTGTTGGTGGCATACATCAACAGATGAGGAGGGACTCTGTCTCTCTCCCTCCTAACCATGGCTTGCTCCCCATTGCTGTGGTGCAGTGCGCACATGCTCTCGCTTCGGGCGACGGATTTCCCCGGTTGCCTTAACTCGGCCGCAGATCTTCTATCCAGGTGGGGCCCTCTCTCTCAGGAGTGCTGGGTACACCCCTGGGAGGTCTCCCAGATATGGGAAATGTTTGGCAGGGCCGACATAGATCTGTACGCATCGCGAAGCAGCAGCCTTTGTTGTCAGTTTTTCTCAATGAGGGACCAGGACACTCCATTGGGAAGCATTGGAGCACCAGTGGCCTCAGACTCTCCTTTACGCATTTCCCCCCCTGTGGAGCTGGTTTAGCCCACGTGGAGTGGGTACGCCTGGAGGGCTTGTTGTTGATTTCATGTGGCTCCCTGTTGGCCCAAGCAGCCTTGGTTTGCGGAGATCATTTGCCTGTTGTGCGGGGTCCCGTGGCAACTCCCGCTGCGCAGGGATCTGCTGTCCCAGGCACACAGGCAGGTTTGGCTCCCTCGGCCAGAGATTTGCGATCTGTGGGCTTGGCCCCTGAGAGGTCCAATCTTGACGGCTGGAGGTTTACCTCCGAACCTGATTGCTACTATTCAGTCCGCAGGGGCTCCCTCCACTAGAGGGCTGTCTGGGTATAAGTGGCAGCCATTGGAGCTCTGGTGCCCAGATAAAGGTAGTGTTCCTTTTCAGAGTACTCTGGGGGACATTTTAAATGTTCCTACAGTAGCTTTTCGGGCAGAGCTCAGTGTAACACCCAGTGTGTTGACGGCTGGGACAGGACAGGGTCATTAGGCAGAGCTCAGTGGAACACCCAGTGGGTTGACGGCTGGGACAGGACAGGGTCATTATGCAGAGCTCAGTGTAACACCCAGTGGGTTGACGGCTGGGACAGGACAGGGTCATTAGGCAGAGCTCAGTGGAACACCCAGTGGGTTGGAAGCTGGGGGACAGGGTCATTAGGCAGAGCTCAGTGTAACACCCAGTGGGTTGGCAGCTGGGGGACAGGACAGGGTCATTAGGCAGAGCTCAGTGTAACACCCAGTGGGTTGGCAGCTGGGGGACAGGGTCATTAGGCAGAGCTCAGTGGAACACCCAGTGGGTTGACGGCTGGGACAGGACAGGGTCATTAGGCAGAGCTCAGTGTAACACCCAGTGGGTTGGCAGCTGGGGGACAGGGTCATTAGGCAGAGGTCAGTGTAACACCCAGTGTGTTGACGGCTGGGACAGGACAGGGTCATTAGGCAGAGCTCAGTGGAACACAATACCAAGACTACCACATCTTGCGGGGTCTGGGTGTTCTGGGTGGTCAGCCGTGGGCCGTTTCATTTAGTGTCCGCTGGGGCCGGCTTGGGGTGGGATTCTTGTTCCCCATAGTTGTGTTGTATCGACTGAAAGGGAACGTAACATTATGACTATAACTACTGTTCCCTGAAGCAGGGAAATGAGGTCCAACACCTGCATCGCCTGGTTCTGGGCTTGGTGAAGAGCGGTACTGAATTGAAGGAATTAATCCAAGCCTCAGGGTTATCACCTGTGGAAGGCGGCGCTTTCAGCGAGGCGCAGATTTCACTGGCCTTGTCAGGCGTGATTTTAGTTCTTCATTCGAAGTCACGAGAGTGCGACTCCCTGTAGTTGTGTTGTACCTCATTTCCCTCCTTCAGGGAACAGTAGTTATAGTCACAACGTTACGTTTTTATGATGATCTTTATATCCATTATGAGTTGAAATTGAATTGACCTCAACTCTGGTGTAGAGAAATACATAAGACCTCTAGCTACAGTAAATGGGTCTGTGTACGTCCTGTTGTTAACCATCTCTCTGTCCCCTCTGGTACCAGATGGTATCCCCTGCTCTGTGCTGAAGGACTGATCATGTCTCTGTATTAGATATCATAGTAACCGTCTCTCTGTCCCCTCCTGTACCAGATGGTATCCCCCGCTCTGTGCTGAAGGACTGGAGGAAGGTGAAGAAGCTGAAGCAGACGGGGGAGTCGTTCCTGCAGGATGACTCGTGCTCCGAGATCGGCCCCAACCTGCAGAAGTGTCGGGAGTGTCGCGTTGTCCGCAGCAAGAAGGGGGAGCAGCCCGCTCATTCTCCTGTCTTCTGCCGCTTCTACTACTTCCGCCGGTGAGTCTCGTTTTGTTATCTGATTAGCTGGTCCGCTGGTTAGGTGGTATTTGATTGGCTGCTCTGCCTCTCGGCTGGTGTTGATAATGATGGATGCCGTTTTATGGACTCTTAACCAACCGTGCTATTTTGTGTGTTTTTTCGCATTGTTTGTAACTTATTTTGTACATAATGTTGCTGCTACCGTCTCTTATGGCCGAAAAGAGCTTCTGGACATCAGAACAGCGATTACTCACCTTGAACTGGACAAGTAATTTTTATTTAATGAGTCAGGCAAAAGAGGGATTTGCTCCAGACACCCGACAGTCTGTCCCTGATGTTTTTCCTGGAGAGAAGTGGCTTCTTTGCTGCCCTTCTTTACACCAGGCCATCCTCCAAAAGTCTTCGCCTCACTGTGCGTGCAGATGCACTCACTCCTGCCTGCTGCCATTCCTGAGCAAGCTCTGCACTGGTGGTGCCCCGATCCCACAGCTGAATCAACTTTAGGAGACGGTCCTGGCGCTTGCTGGACTTTCTTGGGCGCCCTGACGCCTTCTTCACAACAATTGAACCTCTCTCCTTGAAGTTCTTGATTATCCGATAAATGGTTGATTTAGGTGCAATCTTCCTAGCAGCAATATCCTTGCCTGTGAAGCCCTTTTTGTGCAAAGCAATGATGACGGCACGTGTTTCCTTGCAGGTAACCATGGTTAACAGAGGAAGAACAATGATTTCAAGCACCACCCTCCTTTTAAAGCTTCCAGTCTGTTATTCTAACTCAATCAGCATGACAGAGTGATCTCCAGCCTTGTCCTCGTCAACACTCTCGCTTGTGTTAACGAGAGAATCACTGACATGATGGCAGCTGGTCCTTTTGTGGCAGGGCTGAAATGCAGTGGAAATGTTTTTGGGGGATTAATTTCATTTTCATGGCAAAGAGGGACTTTACAATTAATTGCAATTTATCTGATCACTCTTCATGACATTCTGGACTATATGCAAATTGCCATCATCAAAACTGAGGCAGCAGACTTTGTGAAAATTAGTATTTGTGTCATTCTCAAAACTTTTGACCACGACTGTACTCCGAGCATGTGCTGACCAACTGGCAAGTGTCTTCACTGACATTTTCAACCTCTCCCTGTCTGAGTCTAGTCATGGCTCACATCAACACCATTATCCCAGAAACCCTGGACCCACTCCAATTTGCATACCGCCCCAACAGATCCACAGATGACGCAATCTCTATTGCACTCCACACTGCCCTTTCACACCTGGACAAAAGGAACACCTATGTGAGAATGCTATTCATTGACTAATCTCAGCGTTCAACACCATAGTGCCCTCAAAGCTCATCACTAAGCTAAGGACCCTGGGACTAAACACCTCCCTCTGCAACTGGATCTTGGTCTTCCTGACGGGCCGCCCCCAGGTGGTAAGGGTAGGTAACAACACATCCGCCACGCTGATCCTCAACACGGGGGCCCCTCAGGGGTGCGTGCTCAGTCCCCTCCTGTACTCCCTGTTCACCCATGACTGCATGGCCAGGCACGACTCCAACACCATCATTAAGTTTGCCGACGACACAACAGTGGTAGGCCTGATCACCGACAACGATGAGACAGCCTATAGGGAGGAGGTCAGAGACCTGGCCGTGTGGTGCCAGGATAACAACCTCTCCCTCAATGTGATCAAGACAAAGGAGATGATTGTGGACTACAGGAAAAAGAAGAGGACCGAGCACGCCCCCATTCTCATCGACGGGGCTGTAGTGGAGCAAGTTGAGAGCTTCAAGTTCCTTGGTGTCCACATCACCAACAAACTATCATGGTCCAAACACACCAAGACAGTCATGAAGAGCACACGACAAAACCTATTCCCCCTCAGGAGACTGAAAAGATTTGGCATGGGTCCTCAGATCCTCAAAAAGTTATACAGCTGCACAATCGAGAGCATCCTGACTGGTTGCATCACTGCCTGGTATAGCAACTGCTCGGCCTCCGACCTCAAGGCACTACAGAGGGTAGTGCGTACGGCCCAGTACATCACTGGGGCCAAGCTTCCTGCCATCCAGGACCTCTATACCAGGCGGTGTCAGAGGAAGGCCCTAAAAATGGTCAAAGGCTCCAACCACCCTAGTCATAGACTGTTCTCTCTGCTACCGCATGGCAAGCGGTACCGGAGCACCAAGTCTAGGTCCAAAAGGCTTCTTAACAGCTTCTACCCCCAAACCATGAGACTACTGAACATCTAATCAAATGGCAACCCAGACTATTTGTATTGCCCCCCCCCCCCCCCCTTTACACTGCTGCTACTCTGTTAATTATCTATGCATAGTCAGTTTAACTCTACTTACATGTACATATTACCTCAATTACCTTGACTAACCGGTGCCCCCGCACATTGACTCTGTACCGGTACCCCCCTGTATAAAGCCTCCCTACTGTTATTTTACTGCTGCTCTTTAATTATTTGTTACTTTTATTTCGTATTATTTTATGTTGTATTTTTTAGCGATTTTTTTTGTATTCTTTCTTAAAACTGAATTGTTGGTTAAGGGCTTGTAAGTAAGCTTTTCACTGTAAGGTCTACACCTGTAGTATTCGGCGCATGTGACAAATACAATTTGATTTGATTTTCCTGCATTGCTCAGCTAGTCCACTCTGCCGCCACATGGTTAGCCAGAGATTATTAGGTCATTGTGTACGTTCTCCCTCAATCCATCTGTTAGTGTCTCTGTCAGTGAACCCTGCCTCAGTCAGTCAGTCAGTCAGTCCATCTTGTTAGTGTCTCTGTCAGTGAACCCTGCCTCTCTCAGTCATCAGTCAGTCCATCTGTTAGTGTCTCTGTCAGTGAACCCTGCCTCAGTCAGTAAAGTCAGTCTCATCTGTTAGTGTCTCTGTCAGTGAACCCTGCCTCAGTCAGTCAGTCAGTCATCAGTCCATCTGTTAGTGTCCTCATGCTCAGTCATCAGTCATCCATCTGAGTCTCGTCAGTGAACCTCCAGTCATCAGTCTCAGTCCATCTGTTAGTGTCTCTGTCAGTGAACCCTGCCTCATCAGTCAGTCAGTCCATCTGTTAGTGTCTCTGTCAGTGAACCCTGCCTCAGTCAGTCAGTCAGTCATCTTGTTATTGTCTCTGTCAGTGAACCCTGCCTCTCAGTCAGTCAGTCAGTCCATCTGTTATTGTCTCTGTCAGTGAACCCTGCCCTCAGTCAGTCCTATCTGTTATTGTCTCTGTCAGTGAACCCTGCCTCATCAGTCAGTCCATCTGTTATTGTCTCTGTCAGTGAACCCTGCCTCAGTCAGTCAGTCAGTCCATCTGTTATTGTCTCTGTCAGTGAACCCTGCCTCAGTCATCAGTCAGTCCATCTGTTATTGTCTCTGTCAGTGAACCCTGCCTCAGTCAGTCCATCTGTTATTGTCTCTGTCAGTGAACCCTGCCTCAGTCAGTCCATCTGTTAGTGTCTCTGTCAGTGAACCCTGCCTCAGTCAGTCAGTCAGTCTGTGTATGTGTCTCTGTCATGAACCCTGCCTCAGTCAGTCAGTCCATTCTGTTTTATTGTCCTGTCAGTGAACCCTGCCTCAGTCAGTCTGTCTGTTATTGTCTCTGTCAGTGAACCCTGCCTCAGTCAGTCCATCTGTTAGTGTCTCTGTCAGTGAACCCTGCCTCAGTCAGCCAGTCCATCTGTTAGTGTCTCTGTCAGTGAACCCTGCCTCAGTCAGTCAGTCATTCAGTCCATCTGTTAGTGTCTCTGTCAGTGAACCCTGCCTCAGTCAGTCAGTCAGTCAGTCAGTCAGTCAGTCAGTCAGTCAGTCAGTCCATCTGTTAGTGTCTCTGTCAGTGAAACCCTGCCTCAGTCAGTCAGTCAGTCCATCTGTTAGTGTCTCTGTCAGTGAACCCTGCCTCAGTCAGTCAGTCAGTCAGTCCATCTGTTAGTGTCTCTGTCAGTGAACCCTGCCTCAGTCAGTCAGTCAGTCAGTCAGTCCATCTGTTATTGTCTCTGTCAGTGAACCCTGCCTCAGTCAGTCAGTCAGTCCATCTGTTAGTTGTCTCTGTCAGTGAACCCTGCCTCAGTCAGTCAGTCAGTCCATCTGTTATTGTCTCTGTCAGTGAACCCTGCCTCAGTCAGTCAGTCATCAGTCCATCTGTTAGTGTCCTCTGTCAGTGAACCCTGCCTCAGTCAGTCAGTCCAGTCAGTCCATCTGTTAGTGTCTCTGTCAGTGAACCCTGCCTCAGTCAGTCAGTCAGTCAGTCAGTCAGTCAGTCCATCTGTTAGTGTCTCTGTCAGTGAACCCTGCCTCAGTCAGTCAGTCAGTCCATCTGTTATTGTCTCTGTCAGTGAACCCTGCCTCAGTCAGTCAGTCAGTCAGTCAGTCCATCTGTTAGTGTCTCTGTCAGTGAACCCTGCCTCAGTCAGTCAGTCAGTCAGTCCATCTGTTAGTGTCTCTGTCAGTGAACCCTGCCTCAGTCAGTCGGTCCCTACATCTTATTTGTTTGTTTAGCTCTCAGGCCCTGGAGACCTTCAGGGGAGTTTACAGATAAAACATCAATTTTTTCATTTCCTGCTTCCATCCATCCATCCTCTCTGTGGTTGTTTAATCCAGTAACAGAAGTCTGGATTAAAGAGGATTTTCTGGCTCTTAATCACTCACAATGTCAGGCCTTCACCAGGATCAGGGCTCTGCTGCACTGTGACATCACAGCACATTCGTTTTTTGTTCTGTCAATGTTTACCACTATTTAGTTTCAGCATATTTCACTGTATCACAAATGGACACCATTCCCTATGGGCTCTGGTCCAAAGTAGTGCACTATTTAATAGGATGCCATTGCCATTAGAGACACAGCCCGGCCATGTAACCCTCAGTAGAGGAATCAGGGTTGTAGGACAATCCAGTTGGGAGATATTCATCAGGATAAATGTACTCCTCGTTCTAGGGATAGTGTTTGTTCTAGGGTTAGTGTTTGTTCTAGGGATAGTGTTTGTTCTAGGGATAGTGTTTGTTCTAGGGATAGTGTTTGTTCTAGGGATAGTGTTTGTTCTAGGGATAGTGTTCTAGGGATAGTGTTCTAGGGCTAGTGTTGGTTCTAGGACTAGTGTTTGTTCTATGGATAGTGTTCTAGGGATAGTGTTTGTTCTAGGGCTAGTGTTTGTTCTAGGGATAGTGTTCTAGGGATAGTGTTTGTTCTAGGGATAGTGTTTGTTCTAGGGATAGTGTTCTAGGGATAGTGTTCTAGGGCTAGTGTTTGTTCTAGGGATAGTGTTCTAGGGATAGTGTTTGTTCTAGGGCTAGTGTTTGTTCTAGGGATAGTGTTTGTTCTAGGGATAGTGTTTTTTCTAGGGATAGTGTTCTAGGGCTAGTGTTTGTTCTACTAGGGCTAGTGTTTGTTCTAGGGATAGTGGTTTTCTAGGGCTAGTGTTTGTTCTAGGGATAGTGTTTGTTCTAGGGATAGTGTTTGTTCTAGGGATAGTGTTTGTGTTCTAGGGATAGTGTTTGTCTAGGGATAGTGTTCTAGGGTAGTGTTTTGTTCTAGGACTAGTGTTTGTTCTAGGGATAGTGTTTCTAGGGATAGTGTTTGTTCTAGGGCTAGTGTTTGTTCTAGGGATAGTGTTTCTAGGGCTAGTGTTTTTTGGTTTCTAGGGATAGTGTTTCTAGGGATAGTGTTCTAGGGCTAGTGTTTGTTCTAGGGATAGTGTTCTAGGATAGTGTGTTTGTTGTTCAGGGCTAGTGTTTGTTCTAGGGATAGTGTTTGGTTTTCTAGGGTAGTGTTTTCTTAGGATAGTGTTCTAGGGTAGTGTTTGTTCTAGGGCTAGTGTTTTGTTCTAGGGATAGTTGTTCTAGGTGTGTGTTCTAGGGTAGTGTTTGTTCTAGGCTAGGTGTTAGGTGTTTCTAGGGTATTTTAGTGTTGTGTTTCTAGGGCTAGTGTTTTGTTCTAGGGATAGTGTTTGTGGTTCTAGGGATAGTTGTTCTAGGGATAGTGTTTCTAGGGCTAGTGTTTTGTTCTAGGGCTAGTGTTTGTTCTAGGGATAGTGTTCTAGGGATAGTGTTTCTAGGGCTATGTGTTTGTTCTAGGGATAGTGTTTCTAGGGATAGTGTTTTGTTCTAGGGCTAGTGTTTTGTTTCTAGGGCTAGTGTTTGTTTTCTAGGGATAGTGTTTTTTCTAGGGATAGTGTTTGTTCTAGGGATAGTGTTTGTTCTAGGGCTAGTGTTTGTTCTAGGGATAGTGTTCTAGGGCTAGTGTTTGTTCTAGGGCTAGTGTTTGTTCTAGGGCTAGTGTTTGTTCTAGGGCTAGTGTTTGTTCTAGGGATAGTGTTTGTTCTAGGGATAGTGTTTGTTCTAGGGATAGTGTTTGTTCTAGGGATAGTGTTTGTTCTAGGGATAGTGTTTGTTCTAGGGATAGTGTTTGTTCTAGGGCTAGTGTTTGTTCTAGGGATAGTGTTTGTTCTAGGGATAGTGTTTGTTCTAGGGATAGTGTTTGTTCTAGGACTAGTGTTTGTTCTAGGGATAGTGTTCTAGGGCTAGTGTTTGTTCTAGGGCTAGTGTTTGTTCTAGGGATAGTGTTTGTTCTAGGGATAGTGTTTTTTCTAGGGATAGTGTTTGTTCTAGGGATAGTGTTTGTTCTAGGACTAGTGTTTGTTCTAGGGATAGTGTTCTAGGGATAGTGTTTGTTCTAGGGATAGTGTTTGTTCTAGGGATAGTGTTTGTTCTAGGGATAGTGTTTGTTCTAGGGTTAGTGTTTGTTCTAGGGCTAGTGTTTGTTCTAGGGATAGTGTTTGTTCTAGGGATAGTGTTTGTTCTAGGGATAGTGTTTGTTCTAGGACTAGTGTTTGTTCTAGGGCTAGTGTTTGTTCTAGGGCTAGTGTTTGTTCTAGGACTAGTGTTTGTGTCTGTTGATGGGGAGGAGTCACACTCTAATTATCTAGTGTGTCTGTGTTTGTCTGTTGACGGGGAGGAGTCACACTCTAATTATCTAGTGTGTCTGTGTTTGTGTCTGTTGACGGGGAGGAGTCACACTCTAATTATCTAGTGTGTCTGTGTTTGTGTCTGCGTCTGTCTCTCATTAACATGTTCTCTCTCTCCTTTCTCCAGCCTGTCCTACAGTAAGAATGGAGTGATCCGTGTGGACGGCTTCTCCACTCCAGACCAGTTTGACGAGGAGGCTCTGTCCCTCTGGGCTCCTGATGTGGATGAGGAGAAAGAGGTGGACCCAGACTCCTCCAAGTACATCCTGTCATATATAGGAGATAAGTTCTGTCAGATGGTCACCACTGAGAACACTGCTGCTACATGGATCAAAAAAGATGGTAGGGACAGGAGCGCAGATATGTGTTGTTGTTGCTGTTAGTCTTAAAGGCAGGGATCACAGAGACATCCTCTCTGTTTGTCTCTGTGATCCCTGCCTTTAAGACTAACAGAGAGAATGTCTCTGTGATCCCTGCCTTTAAGACTAACAGAGAGAAAGTCTTAAAGGCAGGGATCACAGAGACATCCTCTCTGTTTGTCTCTGTGATCCCTGCCTTTAAGACTAACAGAGAGAATGTCTCTGTGATCCCTGCCTTTAAGACTAACAGAGAGAAAGTCTTAAAGGCAGGGATCACAGAGACATCCTCTCTGTTTGTCTCTGTGATCCCTGCCTTTAAGACTAGCAGAGAGGATGTCTCTGTGATCCCTGCCTTTAAGACTAACAGAGAGGATGTCTCTGTGATCCCTGCCTTTAAGACTAACAGAGAGAATGTCTCTGTGATCCCTGCCTTTAAGACTTTCTCTCTGTTAGTCTTAAAGGCAGGGATCACAGAGACATTCTCTCTGTTAGTCTGACTGTGTTACTGTTGAAAGCTAACTATTATCTGAGCTGTAGAACAACTAAAGCTTGTATTGTGTCTGTTATTGTAACTATGTTAGAGCACTCTGAGGCCAGACTAGTTGATAAAGCAGATGTGTTCTGTCATAATGCCTCTGCCTGGTCTGGAACTGCTCTGCTGTCATCTGCCTGTTCTGTTGACCCCATCCTCCCTGTGTGTGTCTGCTTTGCCCTGCAGCCAAGATGGCCTGGAAGAGGGCTGTGAGAGGGGTCAGGGAGATGTGTGACGCATGTGAAGCCACCTTGTTTAACATTCACTGGGTCTGCCAGAAATGTGGCTTTGTGGTTTGTCTGGACTGTTACAAGGCAAAGGAGAGGAAGAGCTCCAAAGGTCAGTCATCATTTAGGATTTTAACATTTTAACCTCTTCCTTTCCACCTCGTAGTAGAGGATACAGGTTTCTCTCCATCTCTCTGTCTCTTTCTCTCTGTCTCTTTCTCTCTGTCTCTTTCTCTCTGTCTCTTTCTCTCTCTCTCTCTCTCTCTCCTCTCTCTCCTCTCTCTCCTCTCTCTCTCTCTCTCTCTCTCTCTCTCTCCCTCTCCCCCCTCTCTCTCTCCCTCTCTCCCTCTCTCTCTCCCTCTCTCTCCCCCTCTCTCTCCCTCTCCCTCTCCCTCCCTCTCTCTCTCTCTCTCCCCCTCCCTCCCCCTCTCTCTCTCTCTCCCCCTCCCTCCCCCCCCTCCCCCTCTCTCTCTCTCTCTCTCTCTCCCCCTCCCTCCCCTACCCCCTCCCTCTCCCCCTCCCCCCTCTCCCCCCTCCGCCCCTCCTCTCCCTCTCTCTCTCTCCCCCCCTCCCTCCTCTCCCTCTCCCCCTCCCCTCCCCCTCCTCTCTATCTCATCCTCTCTCCCTCTCTCTCTCTCATCCTCTCTCCCTCTCTCTCTCCCCCCTCCCTCTCTCTCTCCCTCTCTCCCTCTCTATCTCCCTCTCTCCCCTCAGTTTCCTCCTCTCCTCTCTATCCGAGGTGGGGGTCTGGTTGAGACAGAAAGTGTGTTGTAGTTCTGATGGTTGGTCACACGGCCCTGGGCAGGTGTAAATCACCATGACGACAGACAGACAGACAGACAGACAGACATATCTGCTATACACAGCCTGCTGAGTCTGAACCTCCCCCTACTGCCTGCTATAGTAGTAGTAGGGGGCGGACTGTGAACTCAGTCTCTATCTCTCTCCAATTCAAAGGGCTTCATTGGCATGGGAAACATATGTTAACATTGCCAAAGCAAGTGAAATAGATAATAAACAAAAGTGAAATAAACAATCAAAAATGAACAGTAAACATAACACTCTCTGTCTGGCTGGCTGGCTGGCTGGCTGGCTGGCTGGCTGGCTGGCTGTCCGTCTGGCTGGCTGGCTGGCTGGCTGGACGGCAACCCTCCACCTCCTACATGGTGTGAAAACCTGTCCATCAAAGCTCCAACACCAAGCAGAGTGTTATTAGCATTAACAGTATTGTTCTAGTTGATGTTGGGAAGCAGCAGCAGAGGATTCATCTTCATTCTCCAGTTGAACCTGTAAAGGAGAGAGGGTCTGTTCTCATGTAGTGGCTCAGTCCCAAATTCTACCCTATTCCCTTTATAGTACAACACTCCAACACCCACAGGGCCCTGGTCAGAAGTAGTGCACTATATAGGGAATAGGGTGTCATAGGGCTCTGGTCAGAAGTAGTGCACTATATAGGGAATAGGGTGTCACAGGGCCCTGGTCAGAAGTAGTGCACTATATAGGGAATAGGGTGCCATAGGGCTCTGGTCAGAAGTAGTGCACTATATAGGGAATAGGGTGCCATAGGGCTCTGGTCAGAAGTAGTGCACTATATAGGGAATAGGGTGTCATAGGGCTCTGGTCAGAAGTAGTGCACTATATAGGGATAGGGTGCATAGGGCATCTGGTCAAGTGATATATGGGATAGGTGCATAGGCTCTGTCAATATAATAAGGGAATAGGGTGTCATAGGGCTCTGGTCAGAAGTAGTGCACTATATAGGAATAGGTGCATAGGGCCTGTCAAAGTAGTGCACTATATAGGAATAGGGTGCATAGGGCTCTGGTCATAAGTAGGACTATATAGGGAATAGGTGCATAGGCTGGTCAAGTAGTGCACATTAGGGATAGGGTGTCAAGGGCTCTGGTCAAAGTAGTGCACTAATGGGAATAGGGGCAAGCCTGGTCGAGAGATGCCTATCCTGGAATAGTGTTTGCCATGGGCCCGGTCAAAGTATGCACTATATGCGGAAAGGGTGTCATGGCTCTGTCGACTAGCAGTACATCTTTCGACTCTGGGGCCATAGCTGGTTCCAAGTTGCCCTCTCTCGGGACTCAGGGGTTACATGGTCTGTCTATCTCTTTGGATAGAGGTGTACAAGCTTCTGTCTCTCTGTCACTAGGGACAATGCTTCTGGTCCCTCTCTCTGTGCACTACAGGGAATGGGTCCATCCAGTCTGGCTCAGTAGGGTACCAATGCTATGTCCTCCTCTGGGACCTCGCCAGGGTTCCAATGCTTTCCTGGCCTCTCTCAGTCTGGCCTCAGAGGTGGTTACCAATGGCTTCTGTCCCTCTCTGTTGACCTCACCAGGTACCATGCTGTTCATGTCCTCTGCCTGTCTGGACCTAGCGAGGGTGTAACCATGCTTTCTGTTCTCTTCTGTTGCCTCAGCCAGGGTAACAAGCTTTCTGTCCTGCTCTACTGTGCTGGGACCATCAGCCGGGTACCATGCTTCTGTTCCTCATCTCTGTCTGGAACCAGGGTTAACCAATGCTTTCTGTTCCTCTCTCTGTCTGGACCTCAGCCAGGGTTAACCATGCTTTCTGTTCCTCTCTCTCTGTCTGGACCTCAGCCAGGGTTAACCAATGCTTTCTGTTCCTCTCTCTCTGTCTGGACCTCAGCCAGGGTTAACCAATGCTTTCTGTTCCCCTCTCTCTGTCTGGACCTCAGCCAGGGTTAACCAATGCTTTCTGTTCCTCTCTCTCTGTCTGGACCTCAGCCAGGGTTAACCAATGCTTTCTGTTCCTCTCTCTGTCTGGACCTCAGCCAGGGTTAACCAATGCTTTCTGTTCCTCTCTCTGTCTGGACCTCAGCCAGGGTTAACCAATGCTTTCTGTTCCTCTCTCTCTGTCTGGACCTCAGCCAGGGTTAACCAATGCTTTCTGTTCCTCTCTCTCTGTCTGGACCTCAGCCAGGGTTAACCAATGCTTTCTGTTCCTCTCTCTCTGTCTGGACCTCAGCCAGGGTTAACCAATGCTTTCTGTTCCCTCTCTCTGTCTGGACCTCAGCCAGGGTTAACCAATGCTTTCTGTTCCTCTCTCTCTGTCTGGACCTCAGCCAGGGTTAACCAATGCTTTCTGTTCCTCTCTCTCTGTCTGGACCTCAGCCAGGGTTAACCAATGCTTTCTGTTCCTCTCTCTCTGTCTGGACCTCAGCCAGGGTTAACCAATGCTTTCTGTTCCTCTCTCTCTGTCTGGACCTCAGCCAGGGTTAACCAATGCTTTCTGTTCCTCTCTCTGTCTGGACCTCAGCCAGGGTTAACAATGCTTTCTGTTCCCTCTCTCTGTCTGGACCTCAGCCAGGGTTAACCAATGCTTTCTGTTCCTCTCTCTGTCTGACCTCAGCCAGGGTTAACCATGCTTTGGTTTCCTCTCTCTGTCTGGACCCTCACCAGGGTTAACCAATGCTTTCTGTTCCTCTCTCTCTGTCTGGACCTCAGCCAGGGTTAACCAATGCTTTCTGTTCCTCTCTCTCTGTCTGGACCTCAGCCAGGGTTAACCAATGCTTTCTGTTCCTCTCTCTGTCTGGACCTCAGCCAGGGTTAACCAATGCTTTCTGTTCCTCTCTCTCTGTCTGGACCTCAGCCAGGGGTTAACCAATGCTTTCTGTTCCTCTCTCTGTCTGGACCTCAGCCAGGGTTAACCAATGCTTCTGTTCCTCTCTCTGTCTGGACCTCAGCCAGGGTTAACCAATGCTTTCTGTTCCTCTCTCTCTGTCTGGACCTCAGCCAGGGTTAACCAATGCTTTCTGTTCCTCTCTCTCTGTCTGGACCTCAGCCAGGGTTAACCAATGCTTTCTGTTCCCCTCTCTCTGTCTGGACCTCAGCCAGGGTTAACCAATGCTTTTGTTCCTCTCTCTGTCTGGACCTCAGCCAGGGTTAACCAATGCTTTCTGTTCCTCTCTCTGTCTGGACCTCAGCCAGGGTTAACCAATGCTTTCTGTTCCCTCTCTCTGTCTGGACCTCAGCCAGGGTTAACCAATGCTTTCTGTTCCTCTCTCTCTGTCTGGACCTCAGCCAGGGTTAACCAATGCTTTCTGTTCCTCTCTCTCTGTCTGGACCTCAGCCAGGGTTAACCAATGCTTTCTGTTCCTCTCTCTCTGTCTGGACCTCAGCCAGGGTTAACCAATGCTTTCTGTTCCTCTCTCTCTGTCTGGACCTCAGCCAGGGTTAACCAATGCTTTCTGTTCCTCTCTCTGTCTGGACCTCAGCCAGGGTTAACCAATGCTTTCTGTTCCTCTCTCTCTGTCTGGACCTCAGCCAGGGTTAACCAATGCTTTCTGTTCCTCTCTCTCTGTCTGGACCTCAGCCAGGGTTAACCAATGCTTTCTGTTCCTCTCTCTCTGTCTGGACCTCAGCCAGGGTTAACCAATGCTTTCTGTTCCCTCTCTCTGTCTGGACCTCAGCCAGGGTTAACCAATGCTTTCTGTTCCTCTCTCTCTGTCTGGACCTCAGCCAGGGTTAACCAATGCTTTCTGTTCCTCTCTCTGTCTGGACCTCAGCCAGGGTTAACCAATGCTTTCTGTTCCTCTCTCTCTGTCTGGACCTCAGCCAGGGTTAACCAATGCTTTCTGTTCCCTCTCTCTGTCTGGACCTCAGCCAGGGTTAACCAATGCTTTCTGTTCCTCTCTCCTGTCTGGACCTCAGCCAGGGTTAACCAATTGCTTTCTGTCCCTCCCTTACTGTTCTGTACCTCGATCGCCAGGGTTAACCAATGCTTTCTGTTCCTCTCTCTGTCTGGACCTCAGCCAGGGTTAACCAATGCTTTCTGTTTCCCTCTCTCTCTGTCTGGACCTCAGCCCAGGGTTAACCAATGCTTTCTGTTCCTCTCTCTGTCTGGACCTCAGCCAGGGTTAACCAATGCTTTCTGTTCCTCTCTCTCTGCCTGGACCTCAGCCAGGGTTAACCACTGCTTTCTGTTCCTCTCTCTCTGTCTGGACCTCAGCCAGGGTTAACCAATGCTTTCTGTTCCTCTCTCTCTGTCTGGACCTCAGCCAGGGTTAACCAATGCTTTCTGTTCCTCTCTCTCTGTCTGGACCTCAGCCAGGGTTAACCACTGCTTTCTGTTCCTCTCTCTCTGTCTGGACCTCAGCCAGGGTTAACCAATGCTTTCTGTTCCTCTCTCTCTGTCTGGACCTCAGCCAGGGTTAACCAATGCTTTCTGTTCCTCTCTCTCTGTCTGGACCTCAGCCAGGGTTAACCAATGCTTTCTGTTCCCCTCTCTCTGTCTGGACCTCAGCCAGGGTTAACCAATGCTTTCTGTTCCTCTCTCTCTGTCTGGACCTCAGCCAGGGTTAACCAATGCTTTCTGTTCCCCTCTCTCTCTGTCTGGACCTCAGCCAGGGTTAACCAATGCTTTCTGTTCCTCTCTCTCGGTCTGGACCTCAGCCAGGGCTGAAATAGCTTTCATTATTCAGCTAGAGGGGGCTAACCCACATGCTTCGTTCCTACCCGGTAACTGACCTCAGCCAGGGTTACCACAGATTACGTCACTCAACATCTCTGGACTCAGTTCAACCAGGTTAAATAACTCACAAGCTCATGTTCCTACTCTCATCACCATGGACTCAGCACCAGAGTTATACCCAACACGCTCGTTACACCTCTACACTTCTGGACTCAGCAACGGTTAACCACACAGGCTCAGTTACAACACGATTCTGACCTCAACCAGGTGTTACACCAAGTTTCACTCACACGGCTCTGTTGGACACACC